TTCCTCTATATGAATTTTCACTTAATGTTTCTTTTACTAATTTTATACTTATGTTAACCTTTTTTCATGTTTCATGAAACATGTTCACATTCCACATACTTAATGGAATACTGTAAGAACTTAAATTTTTTTAAGTATGAAGTTTTTTAAGGATAAAGTATAAAGTAATATTATTTTAAAATATTCCACATATATACAGTATTAGTGGAATACTGTAAGAACTTAAATTTTTTTCAGTATAAATTTTTTAAGTGTAAAGTAATATTATTATTCTAAAACTTTTATCAAAGGATAGACAAATACATAAATAATTCTGCTACTGTGGTTAGGAACAATTTTTTTTCACGTAAGTAAAAAGTGTACAAATACAAAATCAAATCAAAACCTTTTAATTAAAACAAATTTAATTTAAAACAAATTAGAATTAAAACCTTTAATCCTAAAGTTGAACAGAAAATGTCAACAGGAATTTATAATGTATTTTTCTTAAAAAAAAAAATTCCAAGCTCTAGAAATAATAACCAACTCAGTAACAACTCAGGTACTGACAAAACTTATCATCATGCCAGCTGGCAAAGAAAGTTAGTGGTCCAACTCCACTATCACAGAAGAAAGCAACGAAAGGTGGATTTGGAGCTAAAAGCCAATAAACTGGTAAGTGGTAAAAGTATCAGTAAGAATAATTATAATAGAGTGAAACCTATCTAAATGCATTTATGAAGCTGTAATAATAATTTAAAAACAAAATTAAAAAAAGAAAAACAAAACAAAACAAAGCTCATTGGTGACCAATGAAAAGATGTTAGGGAACCAGCTCATTATTTTGAAAAATAGAGAAGGGAAAAAATTGAGCATTTATTCTTTTTCTGTAAGAACTCTATCTCAGGATAAATATAGAGATATATAGAGATATAAAGAGAAAGGGGATTTCTCTTTATGGAAATATCCTATCTACCAAATTTAAGAAGCAATGATAAAAACAGGATCCTCACCATTTTTCAGCCCCCTGTGACATAAAAGCAATGATTATAAATGGCTATTAAGGCCACAAAAAGAGAGACAACTGAACATTATGCACCTCCTGATAGAAGTATTCAATAATTACCTATGATATATTCCTGCAAAATTTTAAACCTCAATCTGATCAAGCCTCTGTATCAAAATAACAATTATAGAAAATTCAGGACCAGAAAACAGGTTGAATGAAACCATGGAGATGCAATGAACAAAATCCAGAATGTAAGAAATTCTACACAACAACCCAGTTCCTTCAACAATAAGCTGCAAGGAAAAAAAAGTTACTATGAACCTATAGATTAAAAGAGACATATCAACCTTTGGAATGTTCAAACTTACATGGATACTGTTTAAAGTGATGAATGAGGAAATATAGATATTTGATATTAAGGAATTAATGTCAATTTTAGATGATAATGGAATATGCTATTTATGTGTTAAAAGAGAGAGTTCTTTTTAAGGACACATACATAAATATGTAGGAATGAAAAAAATATGAATAATTATTAGAAGTTTGCTTCAAAATAATCCAGTGCAAGTAAAGAGGATGAGTGGAGCTGAGATGAAACGAAATTAGATTTGAAATTAAGTAGCAAATGGGTACATGGGGGTTTCATTACATTATACAATTTGTTCTATTTTGGCATATATTTGAAACTTCTCAAAAGTTTGTCTTTAACCTGCCTTCATGAAAGACTATAACAAAATCACTTAAACTTGCCTAAAAATGCCAGATTCAATTTATGTATCTCCCAAATGTATTTATATGGTCACACTAAGCTAAGGCTTTAGGACAAAAGAATGATGTTAGTATATTTTAAGGAATTAGAGAGTCAGTGAAAAGTTTTATTTCTAAAAGAGAAACATTCCCAATAATCTCAAACCAAATGAGACACAAAAAGAACAAACCAATTCTGCCTGCTTTTCAGTGTCTGAGTTTGAGCAGGAACTGGTATCATAAATGATTCCTAGATCACCCTTGCAATTATCTGCCTGTCCACTAAGAGTAAGGTGGGATTCCAACTTTGTCCATTTACTACAAGGCTGTCTTACCAAATTTATGATGTGTACTTTCAAGTCTCGAAAATCTTTTGAAATTCACCAAAGGATAAACAAAAGTTGAGTTTTAAAATTCTAGTCTTTTATGAAATACCTACATTTTTTCCACAGATTAAAAAAAAAAAGGAAAACTTTTGTAACAAATTAGAACTGCTTTAATACTATTCAGAAACTATTACACACAAAAGCAGATTTACATACCTTGCCTGGACTGTGAAGGTGCTACAGGAACTTCTTGGTTTGGCTCAAAAGGAAGTTCAGGTGTTATGTTTTCAAACTGCTCTTTACTAATGAGATTTAGCTTCTTAAAGTTCTCAACTTCTTGCTGAAGTAGAATGGAGGAATCTAATTACTAAACTGGCTAATAGAGTAGCCAACAAACAATAATTGATACCAACCTCAAAAAATGAGTTTAACTACAACAGAATAAAAAAGATGTTCTAATAAAGAATCTAGCATTATACTTAATAACAATATTCAGAATCTAAGAGGCACAGAGAACCCAAAAATATTCTGAATATTTTATAATTAAAATACATTGTAAGAGCATACACTCTAATCATTCATTATTTGTTGAGCATTTATACACAAGACTGCTAGGGTATTAAAGAGATTACAAGTAATCTATGTTCCCTACCCTTACGGAATTTACAAGTTAGATGGAAAGAAAGACATGTACACATAAAAACTAGTAATATTAGCAGCATATGAAAAATGATAATATTTGGTGTAAGAATTGAGATCATCAGAGAAGTATCACAGAAAAGATGGGGAAAGAATGAGAATTTAGAGAAGGGGTAAAGCATTCTAAAGCAGGTAATGTGAGCAAAGAACTTGGAATAAGCACTCATTTATTAGAAAATAATTCAGTTACTGAGAAAATTTGTATAGAATAAGCGACAAAAAGGCCTAATATGGAAATGGGAACAGGCTACTAGAAGACCTTTTATACCAGGCCAAGAAGTTTTCATTTCCTTTTCTGGTAACGGGAAACACATGATGAAAGATAGATAGATGGCCCTGGAGGTTCATTTCCAAACCCCACTTATAAGGTTAGCAGCAAGGAGGCTCAAAGTTTTTTGAGCTTTGTCAAAGGAAGAACAGGCTATCCCTGACCCTTGGGCTCCTGAAGCTTCCCCTTTCTAATAACGGTTACATAGTCACTTAGATGTTCTCAGCCCTGCCCTATATATAGAGAGAGGACGGAGTGGAGGCCAGTGGAGGCCAGTAAGGTCATTTGGCCACGGTACATGAAGACCATTCATGCCTGGTCTAAGCTGTAAAATAAAAAAAGAGTTTGAGAGACTGCTTGCACTCTACTACGTTTTGTAAGTTTCCTCCAATTAAACCCTTTATCACATCTACATCACTCAACAAGATCCAAAGAGGGTTTTAGCAGGTAAAGAACATAAAACTGTCAGATGGACCAAACTAAATATCATCATTACAAAATAGTCATAGTACCTTGCTCTTAATAGCTAACCAATCTTTCCCCTTTGCCTTCAAACATGAATAGTTGTCAGTTCACACCACTCATTAGATCCTGCTAGTCTTTTAAACTAGGATCTTGTTTTCATGAAAATGCTTTAAAGGATTGCCTCAGCTTTTGCCCTTATACCAATACTGCTTTCCCAAAAGTCTTCAATAAGCTCTTCAAGCTAATTCAGTCATTATTCCTCACTGTCCCCATCTTGCTACAGAGCTTACTACTTAAAAGAAAACATTTACTGTTATGATTATCATATGCCAGAGATGAATAATATAGTTCTATCCTGATGGGAACACAAGCAGTATGTTTCTGCTTTTAATTTTTTACACTAATTTATTAAAGCATCACACATACATTTATACATACACACACTAGAGAAGTGCATAAATCATAAGTATACATCTAAATGAGTAATCAAGAGTGAACAGACCTGTGTAACCACCATTCAGGTAAAGATATTGCTAGCATCCTAGAAGTAACTTTCATACCCCTTCCTATAACTACCCTCTTCCTCTCCCTAAAGACAAGCAATATGCTGATTTCAGTACTATAGATTCATTTTGCCTGTTTTTGAACTTTATAAAAATGGAATTATAATGTATGGTTTCTTTTACATAAAATTATGTTTATGAGATTCATTTATAGTTTGTAACTCTACAGCAGAGGTCAACAAACTACAGCCCCCAAAGGCCATATCTGTTTTTGTTAAGTTTTTTTGGAACACAACCACACCCATTTGCTTACATATTGCATGTCTGCTTCATTGCTACAACTGCAAAGTTAAGTGGTAGTTGGCACAACGTATAACCCATAAAGACTAAAATATTTTCTATATAGCTCTTCACACAAAAAATTTGCCTATCCCTGCTCTGTGGTATTCTATCATACGATCACACCATAATTTTAAAAAATCCATTCTACTGGGGCACCTGGGTGGCTCAGTTGGTTACGCGTCCAACTTCAGCTTGGGTCATGATCTCATGGTTCGTGGGTTCAATCCCCCCATGGGGTTCCACACTGATAATATAGAGACTGTTTGGGATTCTCTTCCTCTCTCTCTGCCCCTCCACACTTTCTCCCTCTCAAAATAAATAAAATTAAAAAAAAATCAATTTTACTGTTGATGAACATTCAGTTCCTTTACAGATTATAGCCATTACAAATAATGTTACTAAAAATATGTTTTTACAAAACACTTCTTTTGGTGACAGAGACACATGTTTTATTGAATGTTTACTATGACTGGAATTGTTGAATAAGGTGGTATGCTTCAACTTTAGTAGAAAATGCCAAATACTTTTTCACAGTGCTTGTACCTATTTACATTACACTAGCGGTATATTGACCCTCCTATTGCTCTATAGCCTCATCAAACACTTGATATTGTCAGTTTAAAAATATGTAGCCATTCTAAAAAAGGACCCAGTTATGGGTATACACAACTTGGATGGACCTCAAGGGCATTATGATTAGAAAATATCAATCTCAGGGGCACCTGAGTGGCTGAGACAGTTAAGCATCTGACTTCCGCTCAGGTCATGATCTTGCGGTTAGTGAGTTCGAGCCCCGCGTCGGGCTCTGCTGACAGCTCAGAGCCTGGAGCCTGCTTTGGATTCTGTGTATCTCTCTCTCTCTGCTCTTCCCCGGCTCATGCTCTCTCTCCCCTTCAAAAATAAATAAACTTAAAAAAAATTTTTTTTTAATCAATCTCAAAAAGTCACCTGCTCTAGGATTCTATTTATAGACAATTCTCAAAATGACAAAATTATAGAGATGAAGAACAGGTTAGTGGTTACTAGGGGTTAGGAATAGTGGAGTGGAGGCACATGAACACGAGTCTAATAGCACAAGGGAGATTTGTGTGGTGATAAAATAGTTGTCATGAATGTGATAGTAGTCACATGAGTCTACACATGATAAAATGACATAACACTATACACACACATTTGTAAGAAATGTCAATTTCCTGGTTTTAACGTTGTTCTTAAATTATGTAAGATATAAATTTTGGAGAGAACTGGTCCAGTACACTAGACCTCTCTGTACTATTTTTCCAACTTCCTATAAATCTGTATCTCAAAACAAAAATTCAAAAACTTTAAATATGTAGCCACTCTGCTAAATCTATGTGTAATCTCACTGTGGTCTTAATTTGCATCTATCTAATTACTATAATGCTAAAAACCCTTAATATATTTTATTTGGATAGCCTCTTTTGTGAGGTGGCTGTTCAATTCTATTACTCATTTTTCTATATATTTCTTTCATTTATTGATTTTTAAGAGCTCTTTATAAAATGTTGTAAATGTTTTCTTTCACTCTGTGGAAAGAGGAACTTGCCTTTTCACTCTTTTATGGTGTCTTCTGGTGAAAAAAAGTTCTTTTTAATGTAGTATATTTTGTAAGTTATTTCCTTTTGTAATTTCCTGTTTAAGAAATCTTTCCCCTTTTTAAAGATGTTATATATCTTACCCTTATAATTTTTCATTTGATTATGAAATTAACATATCCTATTGTTAAAAAGTTTGGGAAGCATGAGGGAATAAAAACAAATAGCAAAGCACATAACACAGAAATCTTTCCCTACTTAAATACCATATAGTATCTCATCTTCTAGAAATTTTATTATTTTGCCTTTCATATTTAGAATCGTAATATATCTAGAATTGATTCTTTGTGTATGGTACAAGGTCCATGTGCACTTGAAAAAAACGTGTATTCTACAGATGTTGCTGCAGTATTTCATTTATGTCAATTAAGCAGTTTGTTAACTGCACTGTTTGCATTTTCTACAACCTGATAATTTTTTATCTTGCTACATCTTGCACCTTTCTTGATAAGAAAGGTGTTTCAAAATCTCCCACTGTGATTATAAATTTATCTTTTTGTACCTGTCAATTTTTGTCTTATGTATTTTGATGCTATGTTATTAGGTGCATACAAACTTAGAACTATTGTATTTTCTGGGACAACTAAACTACTCATAGTTATGACCCTTTTTATATTGAAATATTTTTTTTTAGGTTTATTTGTTTTGAGAGAGAAAGAGAGCATGAGCTGGGGAGAGGCAGAAAGCGAGAGGGAGATGGGGTGCCTGGGTGGCTCAGTAGGTTAAGCATCCGATTTCAGCTCAGGTCATGATCTCACAGTTCGTGGGTTTGAGCCCCGCATCAGGCTCTGTCCTAACAGCTCAGAGCCTGGAGCCTGCTTTGGATTCTGTGTCTCCCTCTCTCTCTTCCCCATCCCCACTCACACTCTGTTTCCCTCTCTCTCTCAAAAATAAACATTAAAAAAGAGAGAGAGAAAGAGAGAGGGAGAGAGAATCTCAAGCAGGCTCCGTGCCAATAGTGACCCCACAAACGGTAAGATCATGACCTGGGCAGAAATCAAGAGCCAGTCACCCAACCAACTGAGCCACCCAGGTGCCCCTAATACATCTTTTTGCCATAAAAATCCACTTAGACTTACACCAGCTTTGTTTAGTGTCAATATCTATTTAAATCCACAAACGTATTATTGCTCTTCATTCTTTTGTGTATCTTCAAGCTTCTTTCTAGAATCATTTTCAAAATCTTTTGACTATATCTCCTATGCCTAAAAAACTCCATTTAATATTTTCTTTAAAGCAGATCTGCTGAAAATAAACTCTCTTGGTTTTGATGTGTCTGAAATTATGTTACCTTCATTTTTTTTCATTCTTTTAATGTTTTTTTATTTTTTTTAATTTTTGAGAGAGACAGAGCATGAGCAGGGTAGGGGCAGAGAGAGAGGGAGACACAGAATCCCAAGCAGGCTCCAGGCTGAGCTGTCAGCACAGAGCCTAACGTGGGGCTTGA